GTTGGACACAATTATTGGTACCCCTAGAAATTCTTATGAGTAAAATATCTCTGAAGTATATTCCCATTCATATTCACAATTTTGAGCACTCCAGGGTGATTATGAACATGAAATTATCCAGCCATGGCTTCCTGTTTCACAGGAATATAAATAGGAGGGAAAACAAAGCCCAAATTCCCTTAATCATCCATCACAATGAGAAAAACCAAAGAATATATTTCTGATGTGCAGCAAAAGATAATTGTCACAAAGATCACAAATTAGAAAGTGACTTTAAGAAAAGAGCTAGAACAGTGAAAATTCCCATTTCCACCATCACGGCAATAATTAAGAATTTCCAATCAACAGAAAATGTTACGAAACTGCCTGGAAGAGGACGTGGTCAGAAAACCTTAAAAAAAATGGTCAAACAGCACCTACACCACATGTTGTTTGGGAGGGTTTCAGGAAAAATTCTCCTAGCTCATCCAAAAACAAACTCCAGTATATTCAGTTATCATACACTTCAAATGGGACTGGCTTCTATGGTCAGATGAAACTAAAAAATTAGCTTTTTAGCAACAAACACTCAAGATGGGTTTGGTGCACACAGGGATAAAAAGTACCCCATGTGTACAATGAAATATACTGCTGTATTTTTAATGTTGTGGGCCTATATTTCTGCTGGAGGTCCTGGACATCTTGTTTAGACACATGGCATCATGGATTCCACACACACACTGTATACAGGGCTCGAGACTAACTATTATTACTAGGAGCACTGTAGCCTCTGACTGAAAATTTTTAGGAGCACAAGCAGAAAATTTAGGGGCACACCTTAAATCAGCCTGCAATGCAATCGTTCACATATTTTCCCCATTTTAACTGTATTACTGACAATTGCTTTGATAATAAATAAACTTAACTCATATAGATTACAATGTGCATATTCTTTTAATTTCAGAGAGATATGACAAATATGTTACAGATTTTACAGATATTACAGATATGATAAAATTACTATTGTTTTGCATTAATAAGTGCAGTTACTAATAATATTAAATGTTCAGTTCTTGTTTATTTCATGTTTATACACTTTTGACAGTAAAGCACAAAGCTTGAGTTGGGAAGCTTACAAAATGTATTTTATTAACAACAGTAACGTGCAAAATCTAATTTTTCATGTAGAAAAGACATATATTGTACTCTTATTAAATGTACCATTATTCTTCTTATGTGAAACTGACCAACAACTTCAGTGATTATGTGTGATTTAGTCGCAAATTGAAGAAAAGTTTGTTTTTCAAAGCACTCTGTGACGTTTTTTTACTTCACAAAAAAAGAGCGAAACTGACAAAATCTGATTTCTTGATGATTTGATATTTTGTAATAGTGATTTTATAATTGTTATTTTATAATTTCAAAATATAAAGGAAAAAGTATAAATGAATGACTAATAAGCAAATAAGCCGTGTTGGGGAGTAACTAGTTACATGTAACGGAATTATGTAATTTTATTACAAAATAAAAGTAATTGTAATCAGTTTCAGTTACTGAGAAAAATGTGTGATTAAATTAAAGTTACTTATAAAAATGTTAAGGATTACAAAGGGGGTTACATCTGATTTTCACACACACTCCCACATACAGATTTAATTGATTTCTTTCATAAATTGCAGTGACTGCTCTAAAATATGAAACACCAATGTTTCAGAAGTTTATAACATGCTTATCCGATAACTCTTATATTTCCTGTATGGGTTTATGTATATGCTTTATTTTTTTAAGATTAACTGTTTTTTTTCTAAGGCATTGTTAGATTCCAGTGTTTACAGTCATAGCTATGTAAAGATTTGATTCCAAAAACGGTGTGCTAATGTCAACATAAGCTGTTTGCGTTCAGTGGATGCTCTCAAAAACATTAGAAATAAGAAATGTAGACATAGGCCTGAATTTGTTGAAATCTCCCAACTATCCGACAACTTTGCCTGCCAACTAGCAACATCTATCTTTTTCTTCTAGAAAGGTCTTTAAAGGGTTAGTTCACCCAAAAATGAAAATTCTGTCATTAATTACTCACCAGACCTTCGGTGCATATTTCTTTACATGCTAATGAGCTCTGCTCACCCCGTCCCTTTCTTCTGTGGAAAAGCAAACGCGATTCGCAAATAATCATAAAAAATATAAAGTGTGAGACTTACTTCTTCTGGAGGTGCAGCTGGATCATGAACAATGGGTACTGATCCATCCTTGAGTTTTAACTTTTTAACAAAACCTGCCTTTGTCCCTGAATTGTCCCATTTATATGCAAATGAAGATATTTTGCATCCAATGTCTCCTTTAAAATTAAAATATAATCTTAATTCAAGTGATGAAAGATTTCGAAAGTCTGACAATAATCAGTATTGAGCACTACTGTAAGGTTAACCCTGCCTGGTTGAAGGGATAGTTCACCCAAAAATGAAAATTCTGTCATTAATTGAAACATAGCAAGGAGATCTTTAAAATAATCCATGTGACATCAGGGGTTCAACCGTAATTTTACAAAGCTACGAGAATAGTTTTTGTGCGCAAAAGAAAAAAAAAAAGACTACTTTATTCAACAATTCGTCTCCTCCGCGTCACCCTGTAGCACCATTTTGGAGAGTATCAGCTGGACGTAAACAGAGTATGTTGTTCTGTGTCAGCTGCGTCACGTCGGATCTGTTTCCTACGTTGTTGTGATTTGATCTAAACTAAAACAGCGTATCCATGTGACTCTGGACTTGGGAACATTTCAGTTGTATTGCTGTCTATGGGAGGGTCAGACAGCTCTCAGATTCCATCAAAAATATCTTAACTTGTGTTCCGAAGATGAACAAAGGTCTTACGGGTTTGAAACGACATGAGGGTGAGTAATTAATGACAACATTTTCATTTTTGGGTGAACTAACCCTTTAATTTTTATGAGACCAGGGACCTGGGAGCCACTAGGTGGCCTCAGAATAGTTCCATAGTTCCAGTACATTACAATAATCAAAATGAATTAAAACACTACAAACTGCCATGAGGTATAGGCTACAACATGACGTCATGTTTCTTAATTTAATCTTTCCCTATTTTAATTTGTCCCCTCAACTAATTGTGGTTAATTATATTAATAGTTTTGAATATTGTCTTGAACAGTGAGGGGCTTTAAGACCATTAAATAATACAATATATTGTGAATTTTTTTTTTTTTTTCAGGTTTGATGCCTGATTTGTTATTCAACACTGATTTTTTATTTTTATTTATTTTTGATATGTCTCTTTACTTCCTCTCAACAATTTGGTTGATATGCTGGCTGCCATCCCTTTATGGTTATATAAAATCTCGGTGATTTGGATAGATGAATCATATTGGCCTACAATATAATTGGGTGTACTAAATCAAATTGTCAATTTATGTGTTTTACATGCAGGTAATAGTTTACAAAATTATATAGTATTTGTGAAACTTGGCAAAGTGTATATTTTTTGTGTGAAAAATGTTTATTAGCAGTATACTGCACATTATAAATTATGAAAAATAAACTCTAGCCTAAATTTTCAATCTTCTCAACAGAAGAAAAAAAAAATTCTCAACATGTTATAGCAGTGAGTTTGTAATAAACGGCTTAATGCAATTTGATAGAGAAGATAGTCTACAGAGACATCTGTTGGTTCATTTAAAAAGTGCGCTTCTGATTTATACTATTCAAACATGAAAATGCATATGTAAATATTCACAAAAAAGCAGTTAACTGTTTTTATTTTAGATCACTATAAAAAGTAAGAATTAGATTTTCACTTGATTGAAATAGAAAAAAAATCATAACATAAATATCTACTTTATATTAGGCCTATATTTTACATTTCGTGATTGTGAATGTGTGTCCTTTAAGAAGTTGGGTACCACCACTGGAGGCTGCGCCGTTCGACTCACTGGCTGTGTCTCAAAACCTAGTGTGCGGACTACCTAGACTGCATTTGTGGAAATCATAGACGCGTGTAGCTACCAGTTTCAAGTCGCCGTGAAATACACGGGTAGGCGTCTGTGATTTCAATAAACACTGCAAACGCGTTTGATGCGCAAGAATGCTGCACGCGCGTAAGATGCACAGACATGCCGTCGAAGGCAACTAGATTTTGAGACACAGCCAATGTCTGATAAAATGGCGGTGGAAAACATCGGTGAATCTCAGGATGAGAAGGAAATCCTTATTAAGAAGGATGCACTGTCACAAGACAGCGGTGAGGTTGTCGAGAAAACAAAAAACAAAGAGTCTAAACTGATTTTGTATCATTGGACTCAGTCATTCAGCTCTCAGAAGGTAAGTCATCCCATAATTCAACATTACTAGCGTAGGCAGGCCAAGAACATCAGGGCGGATGCAGCATCTGATCTGTTGTTTTGATTGTGATGTTCACATATTTAAAAAAAAGCCTTGGCATTATTTGGATTATTCCTATTCATGTGGCTGTCTCAGTTAAACAATTGCTGATTGACAGCATACATGTTAATTATTCATAAATTATACATTATTAATGAAGCGTAATGATGCAAGTGTGTAGGCTGTGTTGAATTACTGTAATCATAACACAGACGCCTGAATTACAACTGTATTGTAGAATTGTAAAACAAGAGCATAACCTGCTGTTGTTTTCTTAAACAAGACGAGAGTACGAGTGCAAAATAACTGCTGTCTCGGTCTTTCTTTGGTATAATGATGATACACTCAAACAAAGGAACATTGTGTTTCTGTCATAGGTGAGACTGGCAATAGCTGAGAAAGGCCTTCAGTGTGAGGAGTATGATGTGAGTCTGCCTCTGAGTGAACACAATGAGCCCTGGTTTATGCGTCTGAACCCCACTGGAGAGGTTCCTGTGCTCGTTCACAATGACAATGTCATCTGTGACCCCACACAAATCATGGACTATTTGGAGCAGAACTTCTGTGATGGTAAATGCTCAGGATTTTGGGTTAATGCCATATGTAAAACAGTATTTACATTACAAATGGCATGATTTGCAGTGTAAAATGCTGTAAACACAAGAGTACTGAAGGGTATAGTGTTGTTGAACCCTCTGATGCATGGCATCCACCACACTTCTTTAAAATCCTTTTAATAATTCAGGGTGTGATGTCACATACAAATAATGATGATAATAATAATAATAACAATTCTATATGACTTTCCCTTTAACTGTATATGTCATTTTTTATTTATTGAATTCAACACGGCTAACCAAACATCTCTAGACTACCAGTCAAAAGTTTGACATAATTAGGATTTTTTAATGTTTGTGAAAATGTCTCAGTCACCAGGCTGCATTTATTTTATCAAAATACAGTAAACAGTAATATTGTAAAATATTATTATAATTGAAAATAATTGTTTTCTGTTTTAATATATTATAATATTTATTCCTCTGATGGCAAAGCTGAATTTTCAGGTTAATTGTCATTACTCCAGTCTTCAGTGTCACAAGATCTTTTATAAATCATTTTAATATGCTGATTTGGTGCAATAATATTTTAAGGATGCATCAAATTGATCAAACGTGACAGTAAAAACATTTATAATGTTACAAAAGGTTTCTATTTTAAATAAACACTGTTCATTGAATTTTTTATTCATTAAAGGGGTCATATGATGCTTTTTTAAAGATCATTATTTTGTGTATTTGGTGTAACAGAATATGTTGACATGCTTTAACGAAGCTGGTATGTGTTTGTGATGTGAAGAAAAATGTTCTTTGCGTGCACATTTGGGCCGCATTATGCAAATATTTCCACATAGTGAGGTAGATATGTGGGGGCGTGTTAGAACGAGCCGTTTTAGGGGGCGTGGCAGAGTCTTAACTTTGATAAAGAATATCTCTTTGGTTTTGAGACTTTAGTTTTTGCAACTTCAGGGATCTTATCTATGCACAATCAGCTTGTAACACTCCAAAGAGAAAGGAAAACTTGAAATCGCATCATATGACCCCTTTAAAGAATCTTGAAAAATCTAAGTATTATGGATTAAAAAAATTATTCAGCTAAAACTGATAGTAATAAGAACCATTTGATCACCAATAATAATTGATAATATTTGCATAGCAAATCAGCATATTAGAATGAATTCTGAAGGCTCATGTGACACTCTAATGGCTGCTAAAAACCACACGAGTAAATTACATTTTAAAATACATTAAAATAGGAAACAGTTCTTTTAATTTACACAAAATTACTGTTTTTACTGTATTTTTGGCCAAATAATTGCTGCCTTGAGAGTATAAGGCAGCCTTAGTATAAGAGGCTTCTTTCAAAAACATTAAACAATCTTAATTATTACAACTTACTACTTTTGACCTGTAGTAATTATATTTTAAATTAAAATAAAATAAATGGTTGGGAATATTTCTGTTATTGTTTTAAAGTAAAAAGAAACATTAAGTTTTGTCTTAGTGATTGAATAATTCATGCATCAGTGGGTTCAATAAATGTATGACTAAACAAATTTACTCCTGCACCTGAATACACAGTAAATAAATGCATTTAAAACACTCAATTTTCATAATATCTGTATTAGATGTCAGCTGAGTGATTTCCAATGTGTTAATAACTGTAATTGTTTGATAGTGCAGGCGTATGTTTTTTTTTCAGTGCATTTGTTATCTTCTTTTCATTTGGTTGCATTTATGTTTGCATGTACTGTTACGTTCAGCATGCCTGTGCAGAAATTTGGATAAAATGAGAGGCACTGAAGGGTGAGTCAAAATAAGATATTTGCCCTGGAGAGCAGCTCATGTAGATTGCAGCCAAATATTTTGGTCACAATGCATACTGTATATGTGCTTTGTACATTTCAATGAATCAGAGCACACCCCAAAGCTGATCCCAGAAGAGGGAAGCACGTATTATCATCGAGTTCAGCATTACAGAGAACTGCTGGACTCCCTGCAGATGGATGCATATACCCATGGCTGCATCCTCCACCCAGAGATCACAGTAGACTCCCACATCCCCGCCTATGCCACCACCCACATTCGCAGTAAGAAGGGGACTGAGCATAATAACTTAATATGAACCTTCAATTATTGTGAATACTGTGAATTAAATGAATCGTTCATCCTAAACAAAATTTAAAATTTACTTACCCTGAGGCCATCCAAGATGTAGATTTGTTTTTTTTTTTTCTTCATCAGAACAGATTTGGAGAAACGTAGCATTACATCACTTGCTTATCAGTGGATCCTCTGCAGTGACGGCACGTCAGAATGAGTCCAAACAGCTGGTTAAAACATCACAATAATCCACACGACTCCAGACCATCGATTAACATCTTCTGAAGTAAAAATAGCTGCATGTTTATGAGAAACAAATCAAACATTAAGGCATTTTATCTTTAAAACATTGCTTCTGGCCAAAATACCAGTCCATAATCCATAATATCAGTTCCTCCAGTGAAAAAGTCCCCTATAGTCCTCTCAAGACAAAACTTACTGACATATTTGTTTAGAACTGTTTTGGAGTGTTTTCGCTTGTAAACGGTGCTTGATCTGTGCATATTTCTCTCCCAATTCAAACGGGACAGCTTTTTTCACTGGAGAAAGCAATATTATGGATAGAGGATTTGTATTTTAGCTGGAGGCAATGGTTTGAAAACGTTAAAAACGTCTTTGTGGATATAATTATGGATGAAAAATATGCAGCTTTTTGCCTCAGAAGAGGTTAATCGATGAACTGGAGTCGTTTGGATTACTTGTGGATAGGGATGTAACGATTCACTCAACTCACGATTCGATTCACGATTTTGATTTCACGATTCGATTCACGATTTTTTTTTTTACAAAATGAGATTTAAGTCAAATTATAAATTAAATGTGTCCTTTTATTATTGCTTGGACAAAATACTGTACGTTTCTTTGTGAAATTGAAATATAACACTATAATAATATACTAATATAGCACTTGTAAATTATTGCTCTTTTGTTGGTTTTGATTGCTTTTATTGTCCTCATTTGTTAGTCGCTTTGGATAAGTGTCTGCTAAATAACAAAATTTTAATATAATGTAAATGTAACTAACAAAACTATATTGAAATTTTAAAACAAGCCCCAAATCAAATAAATAAGTAACACAAATAAAAGAAATCTCTTCATATAAACAAACTTTGTTTGTGCTCTTTCCATTTAAAATTAGAGGCAACCACTGCATTTTAATCATGATCCAAACAAAGATGCTGCATACATGCAACATGAGCAGTTTTTAATCTAAATTACATTGTATAATTAAGAAATTTGAAGCAAAAACAGAATGGCAGTTTTGTGATACTATGCATAAAAAATATCTGCATGAAACAGAAACAGCAGACGAGCTGAATGAGATGCAGATTCCCTCTCTGCCAGCAGGTGGTGCTTAAAGCGTTTCCTTGGTTTCCGCTGTAAACAAAGCAGAGCTGCACTTATGAACTTTAATATGCAGGGCTCCAGACTGCGACCAGATGTAATGCTAAATTTCTCCAAATCTGTTCCAATGAAGAAAAACTTATCTTGGATGACCTGAGGGTGGGGAGTGTCCAAACTCGATCTGGAGGGCTAATCTCTGCAGGACAGTGGCCCTCCAGAAGCAGGATTGGACACCCCTGGTCTAAGGGTCAGTAAATTATGAGAAAATTTCAGTTTTGGGTGAACTATTCCTTTAACATTCCTTTAAACTATTCCTTTAATTTCTGTATTATAGCACAGATTTTAAACACAGAATCCGAGCTTAAGAAACTAGCAGCGGAGAATCCCGATCTTAAAGATGCTTATATTGCAAAACAGAGACGTCTAAAAGTAAGTAAACATTCATGCAGTGTTCAGTTTCAATTATTCCCTTTCTGGACATTTGCTCTTTGTAGCACAGTACCCAAGACATCAGATGATCTCACTGATTTTATTCCTTTGAGTATGTGCACTTAATTTAGATTACAATCTTGTTTACAATGCCAAGAATGTGATTGCTGAATTTCACAAAACACTATTTGTTTGAATCTCTCTAGAGTAAATTGTTTGACCATGATAATATGAAATACCTGAAGAAACTCCTGGATGAACTGGAGAATGTTCTGGATCAAGTTGAGACCGAGCTGCAGAGGAGGATTGAGGAGACACCAGGTGGGAGAATATTTTGTTAAACAGTAAAAGCACTGTTAAAAAAAACTTTTTTGAAACTACATAAAAACCCAGGTCATGTCAGACCAACAGAAATGGCCTAATTGTTGTCCCAACTAGTGTATTGTATTTGTAAAGAGCTCATCTTTTTACATCTGTTGATTGTCACCATTCTTGAGGTTTGTGTGTCAAGTGTTGAATCCTACAGTATGTTCAACCATTTAAAAGTATATCCTGGATGTCTTTGCTTTGTAGGACGACTGTTCCTTCACAAACAAAGATAGCATAGTTCACTTAACATGTCAAGTGCCCTATAAGATTACAGCTATCAAAAAAAAATTTAATTTATTGTTACTTAATAAAAATGTGCTGAACAAGAAATCAGTTGTCTTGACGAACGTATTGGCAGAATGAGGCATTTTGCATTTAGTGAACGAACCAATTAAAATAAAAAAAAACAAAGTAGTGTCACTTAGTACAATTATGAAGACAATAGTTGAGAAAACCTAAAACGTTGCCTTGGTTTTTAACTTTTATATACAATTAATTTTTTATGGTGCATTGCACACGTGTTGTCAAGTAACTTTGACGTGGGAACAGCTGGTTTTATTTAAAAAAAACAATAATTTTAAAACTTTCAAAAACTTTTTAAAACGTTTAAAGCCTGTTCACACCAATGATAATGATATAAAATGTACAAAATCATCTTAAATTTTTAAATTTAGTCTGTACCACAACTATAACTCAAGCTGTAGAGCTATATAAGCTATATAAGTCCAGCATATGTCATCAGTGAGAAGTCTGTCGTTTCACCAGAAGATAGAGTTATGATATTTTTGATTAAGAATTGTGAATAATTGTCGGCGCCGTGGGCTGTGCGCAACACACAACGTTGTTACGTTACGGGCATCCCGAGTTCGAATCCTGGCTCGAGGGCCTTTCCCGATCCCATCCCTCTCTTTCTCTTTCTCCCATTTCACTTCCTGTCTACTCTACACTGTCCTATCGTAATAAAGGCAAAATAAGAATGTAACCCTGTTGAAATATGTTCTTTAGTATAAGATATACAAGTTTGAATAAATAATTTCATAGTTTACTAAATAGAGTTTAAGGTTAAAAAAGTTAAGATTCATTGACCAGCAAAGAAGTTATGATTTTGCTCAATGAGAGAAATGCCTATGGAGTAATGTTCATTTACTGTATACAGCATTTAAAATGTTAAATATTTGTTGAGTAATAATATATGTGAAAATGCTTAAAAGATGCCTGTGGGCAAAGAAAAAGGCTCCAGCCTTTGTTGGTGCCACTTTATTGGTTGGCTTGATAGGGGGCGCCACTTACCTGGCTTTCACTTATTTTAAAAGGAGACTTCTCATGTCTTGAGACAGCTATTTGGACTCATTCAGCATTGCTCTGTCCTGACTTGTGTATGTTTATTATCACATTTGGCTTATATATACTGTAACAGTTTGATGATTGTTGCACAATAAGCACTTTTTTTGCCATAATAAGAAGCAAAGCAGTTTGAAAAATAGACACAATTCATCTTTTCATTGATAGGTTCATTAAACAGACTTAAATGGTTTCAGTTCATGCTGTAGGTCCTTTATGGCCATTGTGTTTTGTGCTAAAATGTTTTGTATTAATGTCTGGTCACAAATACAGTAGAAGCTATTACAGAAACAAAACTTCCTGATTTTGTCTAGGAATTTGTCTGTTCTGCATTAGTATGCTTCATCAATTCAGTCATGCTTTTCACTTGATAAGTCAAAGGATATACTACTGTATATGCAAAAGTAATTTCTCTGCACAGAAAAGTCAAATATAATAAAGCATATTTCTCAGTTATACAAGTGTCTGTTTTACAGTAATTACAGTATACATAGTTGTGTGTGTGTGTGTGTGTGTGTGCTTGCGTGTGTGTATTTCTCATATCTATTTAGATAACTGATATCAATCTCAGACAGGTTTGTTAAATAGTTTGACAGGTCTTTTTAGATTAATGGAAAACCATTAGGGCTTGAGGTTATTCCACATTATTAAAGTGCCCCTATTATGGGTAATGAAAGGTTCATATTTTGGTTTTGGGAGTCCCCAACAACAGGTTGACATGCATGCACATAACTCACATCGGGGCAGGAGAAAACATACCTGACTCGTAGCTTGGGCATCTACAAACCGTCGCACAATAATAAAAACAGATCTCGGGGTATTATCTTTCACAGGTAAGACTGAACAGTTGTTTCTGGATGTTTTTGGTCATTCTTAGCATTAATGTGGACAGTTTATTTGCCACCAGTGTCAGACTATTAATAGCTATAGCGATATCGGGGTCATTCTACAGACGTCCACTTTTGGTATGGCAAGATGTCTTAAAGTGTATTTCTTTTTTTAACATTTAAACTTAGACCACATTATTAGATTACCTTTTGACTTTATGAATACACATAAATGGCAACTTAATGATTTTTTATCTTTTTTGTGCATTTATTTAAAGGGGTCATATGATGTTACTAAAAAGAACATTATTTTAAAGACCACATGTACCATTTTTTTTTTGTCACTGGTGTTTCCTTACTTCTTTGGCAATTTTAAAGGTTTTTATGAAATATTATTTCTTGATTTTTTCAGCACATGTAGTCAGAGTTACAGAAAAATAATGATAAATCAACAAATAAGGAGATTGTTTTATTTATTTTAATCAGGTTTGTTAAAAGTGTGATTGAATGATGTTAGTTCATTTGCGCAACCATGTATTTGCTATAACAATGAAAATATTTGGAAAAAAAACAGTTATAAACAAGTAATGATGCAATCCTTTAAATCTTAACTCTTGAGTGTAGCAGAATTCAATGGATGTAAAATTATTATCATGTCACATGTGACAAATTTTATTTAATGTGACAGAAAAAAACACGGTAACACCAGTGACACAATGAAACACCAGTGACATACATAAGACCAAAGATCCTTATTCTTCAACTATAATTATTAGATGAGACTAAATTGTTACATTTGGCATACATTTAGCAATTAGTGAAAGCAGTTAGTAAAAGAGCATAAACATAAACTGATCTTCACTGGTGTTACCCATAAGGAAGGTAACACCAGTGACAAACCAGTGACAATTTTCATGAAAAAGGCATTTTACAAAATGTCTGCTGCAAGGTATCAAACCACATGATGTCAATCATGGTACTCACTAAATTAAAGGGTTAGTTCACCCCAAAATGAAAATTAGCCCATAAATTACTCACTCTCAAGTCATCCTAGGTGTATATGACTTTCTTCTTTCAGATTAATCCAGTCGGAGTTATATTAAAAATTGTCTTTGATCTTTCAAGCTGTTTAATGGCACTCAGCGGGTGTTGCAGTGCATCAGTCCAAAAGAAGTTAAATAAAAAGCACCCATCCTTAATAAAAAAGTGTCTCACACGGCTTCCTGTAGCGAATCGATGCGTTTTTGTAAAAAAAATAACCATATTAAAAAACGTAATAATCAATTTAATCTAGCTTGCGCTCACGGTTGTAAACGGAAGCAGCTCCGGGCGGATGACGTAGGACGTCAGCTTTGTGCATGCGCCGCTCAGAAGTGACGAATGCAGAAGCGCAGAGGATACAAAATGAGGATTTGTAAAGAAGAATGTCGGAGGATTTCGATATAAACCAAGAGGAGACTGGTTTTCCTTTGCTAAAGTAAGGAAACTTTGCTTTTGCTCCGTTTGCTTTTGCTCCGAAACGTTGTTTCGCTGCTGAACGCCTTTGTTCACCACTTTTTATTCAAGGCACTTTTTATTATGGATGCATGCGCTTTATTTCACTTCTTTTGGACTGATGAACTGCCATTAAACAGCTTGAAAGATCAAAGACTATTTTTAATATAACTCTGATTGGATTCATCTAAAAGAAGGAAGTCATATACGCCTAGGATGGCTTGAGGGTGAGTAAATAATGGGCTAATTTTCATTTTTGGGTGAACTAACCCTTTAATATACCAGTCTCAATCTGCTTTCTACACACATAAGAAACAATGAGAAGAAACTAATCTAATTATATGTGATGTATCACATAAGGACTTCTGGGAATGACTTTTACTGTTTTTCACTGTAAATTATATAGCAATTCATAGTTTTTACCATCAAAAACTATAAACAGTTTTTCACCGTATATGGTAAGGTAACTTACCACAGGTTTTTACTGTAGCATTTTTACAGTTTTTTTTTTCCTGTAAAAATTACAAGCATTTTTACTGTGAGGTTTGCAATCTCAAAAGTTTCTATAAATAAAATACATCCATTGTCAGAGGGGGTTATTTTTGTTCTGCAAGACAACAGATTCTCCCATCTTCCAACTTTAAAAATGTATGAATGTCCAATAATGTGTGTGGCTCTATCTCCTATTAATCTTTTATTGCATAACAGTGCAGTAGAGTGTGTGCATTATTTGGAGCCAGGAGCTTGGCAGGGTGTCAGGTAGCGAATGGGTCTCCTCACAGCCCCAGGTCCTGAATACCATCCATGTGTTTTTATTTAGTATAACAAAAGACTCTTCACCACAGGGCAGGCTTCCATGAGAAACACTGTCGGCATGTAAAGAGGAGGAGCACAGGATCCTCTTGACATGTTAATTGACTTGATTAGCATTAACATTACTGGGATTCCAGAAGAGCTATTCATTTGGATGCAGTTTTATTCAAACCACCAGGCTGCCAAAGTAAACACAATTTTCGTTTTAGATATGTAGATATGTATGTTTTCTCTGTCAAATAAAGAGACATAAAACCATATATGAATACTTAAAGGGATAATTCCAAACCAGAATGACTTGTTTTCTTCCGTGGAGCACAAAAGGAAATAGTTTGCAGAATGTGTATGATTTTAAAGGACTCTTTTTGTCCGTACAATGAAAGTCAGTGGGGTCCAAAACAACACTGCACTGGAACCGACTTTTATTATGGACCAAAAAAAAAAAGAGATGATGACAGAAATGTAATTTTTGGTGTAAAGGTCTACTGATTTGAGGT